AGGCATGGATACGGCTCTTTAATAATGGATGCTCCCGTGTCTTGGCCAGGCCACAGTTTCTCCTTGCCTTGTTTCTGTTTTCCCAGGCCCTATGGGAGCCACAAAATGCTCCTTCTCCTGTCCGTTTTTCCTATTCTTGTGGGGCCATTTGCATGTAAGATTTGTGGGACCAGTATAGGTTGTGGGGTAGGAATGGGATCAGGCAGCAGGAGCTGACATGGGTGTGCCAGAGAGGAGACAGAGGCAGGAGGGGGCCGGAGGGGGCTTGCTCATGCAGTAGGTTGTGTCCAGGAGCTCAGCAGGATGGTGGGGCAGGCCTGAGATCTGAGCTGGGGTTTGACTGCCTGAGCTTCTGAGGAAGATGGAGCCTGGCAGGGCAACACAGGACCTGTTTTCCTTCCACTTCCCTTGTTCCTGCTGTCTTCCATGGCCAGAGGCACTTGCAGCTCCCTCCACTGTGTGGCTGCTGGGCCTCCTTCCAGCCTTGGTGGGCACGGAGAACAACAAGGAGGTGACCTGGACATCTCTGTCCCTACACAGGTAGCTGAACAGCTGAGACAGGGCCAGGCAGTATACTGGAGTATCGACACAGGTGTCTGACTCTCTTCATAGAATTAAAACCAAAGGTGTGTCTAAGCTCTGGTGTCCCAAGCTAGCCCCTGGGTTGAGCTTTATCCTGCTTCAGCCAAGTGCTTCTCTTGGAAAGGCTAACAAGAGTGAACCAGAGACACCTGTGATGAAAAACTGCCCTTTTCCTCAGGGGTTATTCCCAGCTTATCCCCCACTGTGCTGCAGAGATGGACGGGCTGGTTCTCATTGCCTTTCCCTGGGTGATTTCAGACGTGTCAGGCCCACCCATTTTCTCATGTACACAGACCATGTAGCAAGCCACCTCTCCATCTTCAGTAGACTGAGCAGATTGAGGCAGGTGTGTTTGTTCTTGACGTTTTCTCCAACCCCTAAACCACTATCACATCTTTTCCCCAAATCACTCTCTTAGTTCCCTATGTGCAGTCTGCAGCAGATGTGGGGGCTGTGTTCTGCCTTGCCTCTCCTGGGGGCTGTATCCCAAAGTCTTCACTCATCCAGGTCTTCCTCCTATGCTACGCACATCCTCTGGGAGATGCTGCTTCCCAGATCATAGCCCTTTGGTGTGCTTGACCCAGCACCCCATTTTCGTGGTGCCAGTGTGGGAACTAGTGGTTCCCAGTATGGACAGAGCTCAGGAGAGGGCTTCGGCACCGCTGCCACCCATCCGTCTCTACTGGCTTCCTGACTAACCTTTGAGATTCTGTATTTACTCCCAATTTACCTGTGAAGCTGATGACACAACTCCCTCTTATCAGCTGCCCTTTGTCGATGGACCTTGCCTTGTTTTACAGAGGAGGGTGGAGCGGTGTGACACAGGTGGGGAAACTAAGGCAGGTGGGGAGGAAGTGAATTTGCCGAGGTCAGCCAGCCTCGGTCAGGCCAGGGGCAGTCCTGGCCCTGCTGTCACTGCTTGGGAGAAAGGCGTGGTGCTGACTAGCTGAGGACCCACTGGCGCAGGCCATACTTTTGGTGAGGGCTGGCGACAATCCTGCACTGTCCCAGCTCCTGGTGTGCCGGCGGTGCTTCTCCTAGGAGTGTGGGAGGTGAGGGCTGCTGATGCTTGAGTGTTCGTCGGGAGCGGGTGCTGCGGGCGGTCCCTGCTCCTTTCGCTTCCCTGGAGGAAGTCTTGTCTTGATCAATCCTGCCTTTTGTGTGTGACACGCGGGTTTTTCCAGTCCCACCCAGTAAAAGGCCTGTTGTGCTACTGGATTTCCCGTGAGGTCAGACACAGCTGTTGCTGGTGGCTGTGGGATTCCTGGCAATGTTCCTACCCCCATCACCTGCCCTACCATTTTCCCCACTGGGCTCTCTGGGACGAGGTTTGCAGTAAGATGTCCCGGTGTGACTCTGCCTTGCCTGTGCCAGACAAGGGGACGTGTGCTCAGTGGGGCTCTGTACCAGCCTCTCCCCATCACAGGGTGCAGGGGGACTGTCTGTTTAGACCTCCTGGTTGAGGGGGTGGAATGGCGAGGCGAGTGTTTTCACCCCATGTCTAGACGGGAGTGCTGGCTGTGGGGAGGGAGCAGGCCTTCTGCTCGCTCTGATTAGCATGCTCTTTAAATAAGACTCTTAATTTCCGCTGTTAAAAGAGCTCAGATCCCTTGTGCCCAGGCTGGGGCCGCAGCCAGCCCTATCCCATCCCCCAGCCCCACGTGCTGGCAACAGATGGGATGGGCACCAACACACCACAGCACCCTGGCTCAGTCACGATACCCCCATGGAGGGGGGCCCTGTGGGGTGCTGAGGGGGCATCAGTGAGGGGCAAGGGCTCTCCGAGTTCCTGGGTGGAGGCTGACAGCTTGTCCTCCCCCCTCGGCCCGGCTCGGCTGAGCTCAGCTCCGGGGAATGCGCTGGGATTCCTGGGCGCCGTGCCAGAGCATGGGGAAGCAAGAGGGAACGCCGTCGTGCTGCCCGCTGCCTTCCCCGGGTGGCAGAGGGGAAGGGAACCCCCTGAGCAAGGGGCTGCATCCCGCCTGGGGTCATGTCTTACTCCTGCTTCTGGAGAGCGGCCAGGGCTCTGTGCTGGTGCTGGCACCTGGTCTCCTGGGGTCCTTGGGGGAAATCCTGGGGAAGGGGATTTCACCAAATCTTCCCTCTCCAAGGCCACCTCTCCTCCAGGATTAAGGCATTAGGCACTGTGCTCTGCACCAGGACCTGACCCAGCCTGTTGCAATGGCAGGAGGCT